AATATTTGGGTGCTGTCATTGGTTCTTTTTTGACAATTGACGCGCGAATGGGGCGTGTTATGAAAAGGGGCGTTTTACAAAATACCGGGCCTTGCTTGCAGGCCCACTATCAGTTCCTTTGGGCCTGCACGCGGGCTATGTACAGCAGTCAATCTATGAAATGTTTCCCTTTTCCTCCGTTATTTGCTGCTGCCGATGGAGTCCCCATATGTAGCCCTATTAGCGTAAATTCTAGCAGGCAGCATTGTCCTGAAATGGCGAGATATAGAAAATGATATGGATATTTCTTATCTTCAGGGCTGATGCCAAGATGAAAATACCAAAACAAAACACCAAGAAGCCCGCCAGACCGATAAGAAAATGCAGCCTTGTTCGAAGGTAGGTAGCCATACTCAATTTCCTTCTATGACTCGGTCTAATGTTTTCTCAATTTGCCAGTAAGTGTGCTGTAGTGTGTCTGCGGATACAATATGCATTTGAGACTTATTAATAAATAAGTGGTTTTAACCTTTGACTTTGTTTTAACCAATCAACGTACAGCAGTCAATCTTTGAAATGTTTCCCTATCTTCCGTTATTTGCTGCTGCCGCGAGTCCCTATATGTAGCCTTATTAGCGTAAATTCTGACAGGCGGCATTGAAAGGCCCTGAAATGGCGACATATAGAAAATGAAATGGCGACATGGAGCACAAACCCTGTCTAAATTGTGTCAGCGATATGGAAAAAGAGGAAACAAAATTGCTAAAGCGACATATAATGCATGTGCCTTATATGATCAGCGAGGCGCTATATAGTTTGACGTGCTATGGTTTCTCCATGCAGAGTCCACTCAGCCCATGCAATCTTTCGCGCGATAAAATAATAATAATTCGAACATATTTAACCTCTTCATGGCTTGTACATGCAGTTATTGGAAACTGCTATCAATGAGGGGCCTGTCGAATAGAATACAAAAATATATATGCAAACAAAGTACATATAGGTATATACTATATACATATTAACTATTTGCCACTATACATTTTGAAAATATCCATTTAGTGTTTCATAGAAATGTTAATACTGACTCATATTAAAAATCTTTAGTTTGCTCCTTTATAATAAAATGAGCGCTTCGAGCATTCCAGTTTCAGTTTGCTTGACCTTTTCTGGGACTATATTCTGACTGTATCTGGTGATATATTTAACAAATATAAAACAATTTCCGTGTTGATATACAGTTGTATCAACACGAGTGGAAACGAGAAACACAATTTCGAGTTTTCCAAATTTCCACGAGTGTTGATATAACTGTATATCAATACGGAAAAATGTTTTGTATTTTTTTTATAATAAAGCACCAAAGAAGAAAGAAATTTTCCGTGTTGACATTGTATATCAACACGACTCTTAGAATCAGCCAATCAGCGTTCAGAATTTACAGATGCTATATTATAATTATGAATGTCTTTATGTCCTTTAAAATTCAAAATATCCAGACATACCTAGCTTGGAACTCTTTATCAATACAATTTTTTACTAGTTTCTGAACACGAGGTTCCCTTCTTTTGTGAAACGTCTCTAAGATCTCATCAGTACTACTCAGTATAGATAGTCGGTTTGGATGCCTGTCGATTTTCCGCCTCCAAACGTATTGTTATACAGCTAGGATGAACACTAAACGTGATTGGCTGATTTGCGGTCACGTGGCTTTAGAAATGCAATGTTTTCCGCCGGGCAACCAGTGAAAATTTGTTGCCCTCCCCGGCCGGCTACGTACATAAATAAACAAAATGCCCGCACAACAGTCGCAAGTTTATAAACTACGAATGTAAAAGAGAATAGCCAACAGGCAACAGGGTATGCTGCTGAAAGCGTTTAAGTAAGTTCTTTTAATTTTAAACGTTAAATTCACAATAGAGTAAAAGGAGAACATAAAAATACAGGACAACCGTGCTATTATATATGAAACACGCGTGTAGCGTATTACCACAGAATAGAGACCTTACAGAAGGTCGACTTCATGATTTTGGCCTAACCGTTACGTCGCCATGTTCCTAGCTCGTGCGTTTAGGACAGGCATTCATGCACCCTGCTGAAAAAACCCCTCAAAATGGTGGATGTTCAGGGGAGTGAATACCTTTCGTACGCACACTAGCTAGGAACATGGCAAGTGCATTTTGATGACGCATCATGGCATCAGTTGAGTCGGCCTTCTGTAAAGTCTCTATTCTGTGGTATTACGTCCAGAAGCAAACACATACATGCATGTAATTAAATTATAAATTGCCAATGAAAATTCTCGCATCCACACTCAAGAGTTTTCAGTTGAGCTGCATGAGCATTTATGGATACATTGATATTTCGTTGTGATTTCCTGGTTGAGTATTCGACGTTTGCTGGTACGGTGGAGGGACTTCCTGTGCCACTAGGTCGTTAAGTTGCGTTTTCTGAAAATGTTACGTAAAATAGGTACTGTTCAACATTACACACTGGAAAAAAATAGTGAAATTCATACTCGGGAATGGACGACTTGCGCTTTAGACTAAATTTTAATCTAAGTAAGAACAACGAAATCTATCACCGCAGCTAGAAAGAGCGTCTTGGAATTAGTAATATTACAAAGTTTGGTTGCGAAATGTTGTAAAATACGGAAAATATAGCCCTTCAAAGTTGGCAAATTTGTATACTTTTGTATTACGTGCGTGAATTGGTAACTAAATTAGTTACCAATTTCCGCACGTAATAGAAATGTTATATTTGTGAAATGCTATATTTTCCGTATTTTACAGCATTTCGCCACCAAACTTTGGAGTTTTTCTAATTTGGATAACTTTTTCCGAAAATATCCTTTGTTATTCCCAGATTAAAATTTTTTCTAAAGCGCAAGTCGTCCATTTTTTCCATACTTATACCATAGTATGAAAATTGTCATCAGTATGAAAATTGGATTTCGATACTATTTTCAACTAAGTTCCATGGATTTTGAAAAAAATTCCAGTGGGAAGATAGAGAGGCCATAATAACAATTTGTTTTTATAAATTAAACTATAAAGGACACTTGGAGACTGCATACCTCCTCCAGCGAATTCAGTTATGTATCATATGCATAAATACAAATTAATGCGTCATCATTTCACACAAATGAAATTATGAAAAGCCCTATACTGTATACGAACATGAGGAAATAAAAACGAAGCCATTTGGAAAGAAACCAAAGCTTCGGATTGATATAGGGATACAACTACCTGAAAAATACAAGGAGAACTTCGACGTTTCGAACTGGCACAGCGTTCAAAATTATATCGTTGGGCCAATAGTGCAATAAACAGTACAGTTTGTTAATCTTACCAGTGCAACAAACAAAATCCAGTCCGCAAACAGTAGCAACATCACGAAGGAACAGAGCGCCAACACAAGATCAGTTGCGTACAGCAAGATATAATACCAGGGATTCGCGTTTTTGAGCTTGTAACAATCTTTCTTGCGATAAGAGGAGACTGCTTCTTTCTCGCAGTATGAATCTTCCTTCAAATAGCCATGTATCAATGCAGCGTTTGTTGATTCTTCTATGATCACGCCCAGGGCTAGGACGATAGTCACCAGGACGCAACATAGGCTGATGTATTTTTGGAAAATGATTTTTGACGTGAAATAACGTATATATCGAGATTTTTTGGCCATCTCGCTCAATATAGAATTAACGTACGAAGGATTTTTGTAGATGGAATTATATTCAAGTTTAGACATAACCAGGAACAGATGCCAAAAATGCAACTATAGGCCCTCTGGCAGGAATCGAACCTGCGGCCCAGCGATCCCGGTGCAGTGCTCTAACCAACTGAGCTACAGAGAGACAGTTGTCGAGCTCTAACCAACTGAGCTACAGAGAGACAGTTGTCGAGCTCTAACCAACTGAGCTACAGAGAGACAGTTGTCGAGCTCTAACCAACTGAGCTACAGAGAGACAGTTGTCGAGCTCTAACCACCTGAGCTACAGAGAGACAGTTGTCAAGCTCTAACCAACTGAGCTACAGAGAGACAGTTGTCAAGTTCTAACCAACTGAGCTACAGAGAGACAGTTGTCGAGCTCTAACCAACTGAGCTACAGAGAGACAGTTGTCGAGCTCTAACCAACTGAGCTAAAGAGAGACAGTTGTCGAGCTCTAACCAACTGAGCTACAGAGAGACAGTTGTCGAGCTCTAACCAACTGAGCTACAGAGAGACAGTTGTCGAGCTCTAACCAACTGAGCTATAGAGAGACAGTTGTCAAGCTCTAACCAACTGAGCTACAGAGAGACAGTTGTCGAGCTCTAACCAACTGAGCTAAAGAGAGACAGTTGTCGAGCTCTAACCAACTGAGCTACAGAGAGACAGTTGTCAAGCTCTAACCAACTGAACTACAGAGAGACAGTTGTCGAGCTCTGACCGCAAGTTCATGTAACTATATTGAAGTAGTACATTTTGAAAGAAGATGAAACCTACGTATTAACCTGTTACAATAAAACTGCCGATACTTTCAAGAGTAACAACTTAAGCATGACAACATAAATCTATTTGTTTAGACTCGCCGTTGTTTGAGAAAGAAGTTACTGAGCTACAGAGAGACAGTTGTCAAGCTCTAACCAACTGAGCTAAAGAGAGACAGTTGTCGAGCTCTAACCAACTGAGCTACAGAGAGACAGTTGTCAAGCTCTAACCAACTGAACTACAGAGAGACAGTTGTCGAGCTCTGACCGCAAGTTCATGTAACTATATTGAAGTAGTACATTTTGAAAGAAGATGAAACCTACGTATTAACCTGTTACAATAAAACTGCCGATACTTTCAAGAGTAACAACTTAAGCATGACAACATAAATCTATTTGTTTAGACTCGCCGTTGTTTGAGAAAGAAGTTCATTCAAGAAAGAAAAGATCGGATAGCGGAAAAAATAGTTATATTTTTCTCGACAACAGAAGTGGGAAGACGGCCAAGGTAAACAAACCGGTCAATAAAAATCTCGTTGCATGTGCGTGAGAAACCCGTGTTTCAGTCAAAGGCCAAGTGCACAAACGTATTTCTGAGAAATGTGCAAAGTTCACGCATTAAAAGTCACGTTTCTAGTAATTAAGGCCAACTCCTTTTAATTAAGTGTTCCGATGAGTTTCCGATAAATGCGCTTCCGTGTACATACACTTGCAAGAATTATTGTTTTTGTTGGTTTCTAGAGGATGAGAACGTATTCATACGAATTACGACGTGTTGCTTTCAGACTCAAGACACACATATTCAATTTCACACAATTTATATCTATGTGAAGTCAGTGCACTTAACACATTATATAGTTGGATTTCATGAAGTGGGACAGGGGAAGTGTGGGGAACTCGGAAAGACAGTTATCTCATCATCATCATCATCATCATCATCATCATCAATCAATTTTATTTAAAATGAAAACACGCTAGCCTTGCACAACTGAAAGCTGATTTACAGGAGGGGCGTGATATATAAAATAGTAAAATATATAGAATATTATATAGACCCCCAACCTCCCCTCCTCCCCAAACAACAAAGAAAAATAAAGTAAGTAAAGAGAGTTAACTATAATTAAGTCAACATGGTTCTAAAAGGACAGCTCCGCAATACTACGCTTAAATTGACTGAGCGAAGTCGCTCTTTTTGCATCTAATGGAAGATTATTCCACAGCATTGATGCGCTATATTTAAAGCTTCTCTTCAAAAAATTAGTTTTTGGTTTTGGAAGTGCTAGATCCGTTTCCTGATTTCGTAAATTATGGCCTCTATAAGGATTTTATACATTAGGATACTCTTCGACTTAGCCCGCCTAACATGTAGATTATCCCATCCTAAACCTTCCAAAAGATCACTTGATCAGGAGACGTATATTACTGTCGTCTTTGTATTTGGTGACAAACAAGTATCAATACATTTACACTTAACCAACATTTCTACAGTGCAAATTCACATATGGATAAGGTCAAATGTACTTCAATTGTTACCTATAATTACATACATACTTAGTCTAGACTATTTCGTCTTTCACAACAACTGCGATACTACTTTCTTAACTGTGTTTATCCTAACCCACCCTGTCAATTTGCCCTGTGGGAGAAAATCCAGAGCACCCGGAGAAAACTTTTGCGGTCAAATCTATTAAAGACAGACATTAATCGTATGAATATGAGCACCTTGGGAGCTTCAATTGTTGATTTCGCTTTTTATGCTAATTTTCGAAAATTTTCAAAACCGCAGTGACCACACTTAAAGAAGCCGCCAAATGAGTTGAATCAATGCAATACAATCATGCAACTACCATACAATTATCTACGTACTGTTGAAGCCATGGTTTGCAGATGTTTTGTCGGCAAAATGCAAGGTTTAAAAGGGTCAATGGATATGAAACAGGTGTAAAAGAAACGAATTCGTTGTTATTAAGAAATGTGAATATGAAAATATATATTTTATCGTTGAAAGATTTCATAGTGCCAGCAATTACGTAATTACTAAATTAGATTTCAAACACTTGAAACACGTTTCATACGAATAACAATTAATGATATTGAATTATAAAATTTCCTTCGTAGGAATAATAATTAAATTGAATAACAATTAACGTTGAAATATCCCTCCTGCTGTGAATATTGCACGACGAATGACCAGGATAAAGCAATGGGATAACTGGAACGCTACCTTCAGATAAACTCCCGATCTTTTTCTTGAAGTCAAATCTGATCCCCAGACACGCGTGTTTGGGAATGAACGCCTCGTGTTCTCTCGCGAGACCAGTTTTGGGAGCGGGCATGTTGTTTTAATAAGAAAAAAACTTACAGTAAAGTTTATACTAGGACGTTTTACCTGAATAAGTGCATTAACATTAAGTTTTCAGCGCTGTTAAAAACCGCTTTTTGTAAATTTTAAGCAGCTTTTCAATAATACATATTCACATGTCGATAAAGTTGACTGTGCTCTCTAGCGAAACATGTCTGATATTATACACTAGAATGGAGCGTTGAAACGTTGGATCGTGGATGTAATTTGTTCAGGGATTACATTCATTTACTTAAACCAGAGTAGCGAAACATGTCTGATATTATACCTGGTTGCATGAACCCACTAGACTGGAGTGTTGAAAGGTTGGGTTGTGAATGTAATTTGTTCAGGGATTACATTCCTTTACTTCAACCACAGTAGCGACGTATGTCTGCATAAGAAACCTTTTGTTTAGTTGTACTGGCGAGATGTGAACAAGAAAGATCCAGCGAGATATTACACAAGCCTTACAGCAGGACAAACGATTGGACTTAATACATACGACAATCACGAGTGGACGGCAAAAGACATCTTTCGTAGAAGTTTGTTGATGAATGATAAACGAGGAGTCCTTCAGAAAGGAAACACAGAAGCCACAAGATCTGTTGTTATTATAAAAAATATAGGTAGGAATAGTTCACAGTGCTATTATGCGATCACATAGGGGGGTTAGTTGTACAGAGGTCAGTGCACATGTTTTTCACGTGTCTGTGACCGATGTTTGTTTGATTCTTCGGTTACATTCTTAGGACAGCTTCTACAGTAGTTTCCACCAAACATCACAGGTTTTCTATGGTAACATTGGATGGCCCTTACTGGACCTCTAGGGAGAACAGTTTGGAACTGATAGAGCTATCCAGTATAAGTAAAGTTAATTAGTTTAGGTTTTCTCCTGTAGTAACACTGGATCAATAAGAGATGATCCTTACTGGACCTCTAGGAAGAACAGTTTAGAACTGATAGAGTTATCTAGTATAAATAAAGTTAGTTTAGTTTAGGTTTCCTCCTGTAGTGACACTGGATCAATAAGAGATGATCCTTACTGAACCTGGATCTAGAAAGAACAGTTTAGAACTGATAGAACTATCAAGTATAAATAAAGTTAGTTTAGTTTAGGTTTCCTCCTCTAGTAACACTGGATTAATAAGGGATGAATTTTATCTAGCAGTTTAGATATGATAGAGACCGAAGGTTTAGTTACGCCTGAATTTTTTCAAATTTTAATTCCAGGCCAAAGAAATACAGATATTGGTGATCGCTACGTTGAGATGATGGTTGTCGTGGATAAAGCTGTCATTGGAAGACACAGAAATGATGAGGAAGTGAAGAGATATGTTCTAACGTATTTAAAATTGGTGAGTGAAAACTAACTTTATTTATACTGGATAGTTCTACCAGTTCTAAACTGTTCTCCCTGGAAGTCCAGTAAGAATCATCGCTTATTGATCCAGTGTTACAACCGCAGTTCTTTTCATTATCCTGTATATCAAAAATTTTTCTAAATAATATTCAGTTGATTCCTTTCAAAATTTTTAGGCATCAGCAATTCTTCAGCACTCAGACATAACTAAATATGGACTCAAAATACATTTAGTTCTTGCCAAGTTGGTTTTGTTGCGCAGAGATCTGGTGAGTGAAACCCTGGTCACAGAAGGTGAAAGATTTATAAACCTATAACCACTGTACTATTGAAAATATATTGTGTAAATTTCTTCTGATCAATCGGAGAACAGAAAACTAAAGTCTCCGAAGAAAACCTGTGGTGTTTGGTAGAGTCAAACTGGAAGCACTCTTCTCACCAAGACCGGATCTTGGTAGAAGTGGCGACGGAGGTGGGGATTAAGGGAGGTGCAGAGGTCTAGTTCACGGCACCTATAGAACGTAAGTCAACGACGTGACGTATGCATGACCTGTACATATGCATCAGTGTATTTATGTTCTTTTCAAGGGGAGGTGCATGCCTTTTCAAAAGAGTTTCAAAAAATTTCAGAGGAGGTGCAGAACAATCTCAGGGGAGATGCGCCTCCCCACACTTCCTTCAAAATCCAGCCATGCTTCTCACATACGACTGAGGGAAAATTCTGAACAGAATGAAAGATATTAGCAATAAGCCATCATGTACAATCCAACCAACACTCTCGTCATCATTTCCTAGAGCGATGTGAGACTGGATCCAGACGAGAGAGAAAATAATTTGAGAAAAGTGTGTAATTACATGAACAAAATTGGGAACGGTGGATCTAGGAAATATGATCACAAATTGTTTCTAACAAGGCAAGAAATTTTCAAATGCCTTCATTAATATAACAACGTATTATGGAAACTTAATTAAACTTATACTGTCATTTCCAATGTTATTTTTCTAGGAATGATTTTGGAATGGGAGGTATGGATGTTTCAAATGTAATGTCTAATGTTGAATGAACTAACTTGATTTATGTTGGATTGTTTTAACAATTCTGTGGTACTACATGCACAAGGATTTCGGAGAAAACCTGTAGTGTTTGCTGCACACGTAAAAACGCACAATTGTAATAAACCTGCAGCAGACTTGTAGCAATGCTGTTCCAACAACTTGTCAACAGGATGTGTTCGCACTGCTTGTTCCCAGCTTGTTGACAAGTTCTCAACGGCATGTTGACAACTTGCTACAAGGTTGTTGCGCCAAACAGACTTGTTACAAGTTGTTCCAACAACTTGTTATCGTCCTGCAATTCAACAACTTGTCAACAAGTTATGAGTGGCAACATTGTAGCAACTTGATGAAATAACAGCATTGTTACAACTTGGTGACAAGCTTGCTACAAGCCTGTTGCGAACACATCTTGTTAACAAGTTGTGAGATTTTTACGTGTGTGACCTGCAGACTCGTATGGTAGCAACATCCTAAGATTCTGTCTCCTAGGTTACGCGAACACGCGAGGAATGTGCAGTCATTACACAAGTTGTTCAATGGTGTATGATCATGGATTTACAGCCTCGTTCCTGGTCGCACACGAACTAGCGCATTCGTAAGTTCCACTTCTAAAACTTGAATGCGCACTTGGAAGACTTAGGGTTCCAAGTGTCGCTCCTACAACCCAACTTGTTCCTCTTAAAGTTTCATTTCATGAACTTTCATGTTCACATTTGTTCAAAATATCAGTGTGTTAATAATGTGTGTTTGTGTCCCTAAATATGTCATAACTAGTGTTGTCTTTGTTGGGTTGGTCTTAATATGGGATTCTGGTCCTGTTAACTATACCTTCAACCTTATTCCTTCATCTATGTGTATATTCGTAAATTTAATAATTATTTGTTCATGCATAAAAGGTTGTAAAGTTAATATGTAAAGAATAACAAGGACTAGCTCAGTATGCCAACAGCAGAACTTCAGTTCTCCCAGTAGATATATGTCCACCAAGTACCTCGTCTGTAAACGGTGTTAACGATATCTATCGACTTAGGTTCGGCGTTGATGATCGCGACTTCGGACAGAACTCGGGCTTCGTCATGTCACAAATGGTGGACGCACGATTTAATCAACACCGCTGGTCAAAGTACAGTCAAATTGCAATGCTTACCAATATCAGGTATGGAATACCAAACTAACTTTATTTATACTGGATAGCTTCATCAATTCTAAACGGTTCTTCATTGAGCATACTCATGAGCATACCGAATTTTAGTATATATATACATATGAGCATGCACATGACAATGCTGGATTTTGGTGTGTACATGAGCAAGCAGGATTTAACACAGCATTTAGAGGAGTATTGTATCTCATGACAAGAGGGTCATGTTTATAGATGAACCTGTGGTTAGAGCTCGACAACTGTATCTCTGTAGCTCAGTTGGTTAGAGCTCGACAACTGTCTCTCTGTAGCTCAGTTGGTTAGAGCTCGACAACCGTCTCTCTGTAGCTCAGTTGGTTAGAGCTTGACAACTATCTCCCTGTAGCTCAGTTGGTTAGAGCTCGACAACTGTCTCTCTGTAGCTCAGTTGGTTAGAGCTCGACAACTATCTCTCTGTAGCTCAGTTGGTTAGAGCTCGACAACTATCTCTCTGTAGCTCAGTTGGTTAGAGCTCGACAACTGTCTCTCTGTAGCTCAGTTGGTTAGAGCTCTACAACTGTCTCTCTGTAGCTCAGTTGGTTAGAGCTCGACAACTGTCTCTCTGTAGCTCAGTTGGTTAGAGCTCGACAACTATCTCTCTGTAGCTCAGTTGGTTAGAGCTCGACAACTGTCTCTCTGTAGCTCAGTTGGTTAGAGCTTGACAACTATCTCTCTGTAGCTCAGTTGGTTAGAGCTCGACAACTGTCTCTCTGTAGCTCAGTTGGTTAGAGCTCGACAACTGTCTCTCTGTAGCTCGGTTGGTTAGAGCTCGACAACTGGCCTCTGTAGCTCAGTTGGTTAGAGCTCGACAACTGTCTCTCTGTAGCTCAGTTGGTTAGAGCTCGACAACTGTCTCTCTGTAGCTCAGTTGGTTAGAGCTTGACAACTGTCTCTCTGTAGATCAGTTGGTTAGAGCTCGACAACTGTCTCTCTGTAGCTCAGTTGGTTTGAGCTCGACAACTGTCTCTCTGTAGCTCAGTTGGTTAGAGCTCGACAACTGTCTCTCTGTAGCTCAGTTGGTTAGAGCTCGACAACTGTCTCTCTGTAGCTCAGTTGGTTAGAGCTCGACAACTGTCTCTCTGTAGCGCAGTTGATTAGAGCTCGACAACTGTCTCTCTGTAGCGCAGTTGGTTAGAGCTCGACAACTGTCTCTCTGTAGCTCAGTTGGTTAGAGCTCGACAACTGTCTCTCTGTAGCTCAGTTGGTTAGAGCTCGGCAACTGTCTCTCTGTAGCTCAGTTGATTAGAGCTCGACAACTTTCTCTCTGCAGCTCAGTTGATTAGAGCTCGACAACTTTCTCTCTGTAGCTCAGTTGATTAGAGCTTGACAACTGTCTCTCTGTAGCTCAGTTGATTAGAGCTCGACAACTTTCTCTCTGTAGCTCAGTTGATTAGAGCTCGACAACTTTCTCTCTGTAGCTCAGTTGATTAGAGCTCGACAACTTTCTCTCTGTAGCTCAGTTGATTAGAGCTCGACAACTGTCTCTCTGTAGCTCAGTTGATTAGAGCTCGACAACTTTCTCTCTGTAGCTCAGTTGATTAGAGCTTGACAACTTTCTCTCTGTAGCTCAGTTGATTAGAGCTTGACAACTTTCTCTCTGTAGCTCAGTTGGTTAGAGCTCGACAACTTTCTCTCTGTAGCTCAGTTGATTAGAGCTCGACAACTTTCTCTCTGTAGCTCAGTTGGTTAGAGCTCGACAACTTTCTCTCTGTAGCTCAGTTGGTTAGAGCTCGACAACTTTCTCTCTGTAGCTCAGTTGATTAGAGCTTGACAACTTTTTCTCTGTAGCTCAGTTGATTAGAGCTTGACAACTTTCTCTCTGTAGCTCAGTTGGTTAGAGCTCGACAACTGTCTCTCTGTAGCTCAGTTGGTTAGAGCTCGACAACTGTCTCTCTGTAGCTCAGTTGGTTAGAGCTCGACAACTGTCTCTCTGTAGCTCAGTTGGTTAGAGCTTGACAACTGTCTCTCTGTAGCTCAGGTGGTTAGAGCTCGACAACTTTCTCTCTGTAGCTCAGTTGATTAGAGCTCGACAACTGTCTCTCTGTAGCTCAGTTGATTAGAGCTCGACAACTTTCTCTCTGTAGCTCAGTTGATTAGAGCTCGACAACTTTCTCTCTGTAGCTCAGTTGGTTAGAGCTCGACAACTTTCTCTCTGTAGCTCAGTTGATTAGAGCTTGACAACTTTCTCTCTGTAGCTCAGTTGATTAGAGCTTGACAACTTTCTCTCTGTAGCTCAGTTGATTAGAGCTCGACAACTTTCTCTCTGTAGCTCAGTTGATTAGAGCTCGACAACTTTCTCTCTGTAGCTCAGTTGATTAGAGCTTGACAACTTTCTCTCTGTAGCTCAGTTGGTTAGAGCTCGACAACTTTCTCTCTGTAGCTCAGTTGATTAGAGCTTGACAACTTTCTCTCTGTAGCTCAGTTGATTAGAGCTTGACAACTTTCTCTCTGTAGCTCAGTTGATTAGAGCTTGACAACTTTCTCTCTGTAGCTCAGTTGATTAGAGCTTGACAACTTTCTCTCTGTAGCTCAGTTGGTTAGAGCTCGACAACTTTCTCTCTGTAGCTCAGTTGATTAGAGCTCGACAACTTTCTCTCTGTAGCTCAGTTGATTAGAGCTCGACAACTTTCTCTCTGTAGCTCAGTTGATTAGAGCTCGACAACTTTCTCTCTGTAGCTCAGTTGATTAGAGCTCGACAACTTTCTCTCTGTAGCTCAGTTGATTAGAGCTCGACAACTTTCTCTCTGTAGCTCAGTTGATTAGAGCTCGACAACTTTCTCTCTGTAGCTCAGTTGATTAGAGCTCGACAACTGTCTCTCTGTAGCTCAGTTGATTAGAGCTCGACAACTTTCTCTCTGTAGCTCAGTTGATTAGAGCTCGACAACTGTCTCTCTGTAGCTCAGTTGGTTACAGCTTGACAACTGTCTCTCTGTAGCTCAGTTGATTACAGCTTGACAACTGTCTCTCTGTAGCTCAGTTGGTTACAGCTTGACAACTGTCTCTCTGTAGCTCAGCTGGTTACAGCTTGACAACTGTCTCTCTGTAGCTCAGTTGATTAGAGCTCGACAACTTTCTCTCTGTAGCTCAGTTGGTTACAGCTTGACAACTGTCTTTCTGTAGCTCAGTTGGTTACAGCTTGACAACTGTCTCTCTGTAGCTCAGTTGATTAGAGCTCGACAACTTTCTCTCTGTAGCTCAGTTGGTTACAGCTTGACAACTGTCTCTCTGTAGCTCAGTTGGTTACAGCTTGACAACTGTCTCTCTGTAGCTCAGTTGATTAGAGCTCGACAACTTTCTCTCTGTAGCTCAGTTGGTTACAGCTTGACAACTGTCTCTC